TTTTTTTGTTCCTGTATAAAATATTAGGTAGGGATGTGTTTGGGTGGTTCTGCACTTTGTTTTTCCCTTTTTGTGTGCTTGTATGTTTGCACGTAAGTGAAAATTTACATGTTCACTTACTATTGTCAAGCTGTTCTTTGATGCAGATGGCCGCCTATATACTGCCACCCCAGTTGATCCCGTTTTCATTTTGTTGCCCATATTTGATGAAGCTAGAATGAAGGTAAATCTGTCATTCAAAGTGCATAATCTTTCTCAGCAACATCTACCTCTTTGGCCTTTGCTATTTCAGTGTAACCATTCCAATATTAGCTTAGTGACTAGGACTAAGAGTCACTTATGTATGTGTGTGCATTGCGTAGTTAATATTTATGTATGAATGTCTATGTGCATAGTTATAGTTTGTGTGTGTTTTCTTTTTGAGGCTTACTGATAACCATGTTTCTTATGAAATGATGCAGAAAGGAGATGATCTTGGAAAGTTTAGGCAATTGGATGAAATAATGTTAATTGATGACTATCCTGGATATCAACATTTATTGTCCGTTGCAGAGAATTCCATGCAACTAGTCTGTGAAGTCAAAGGTCATCCATTGCCCATTGTCTTCTTATTCAATTAATTCAACATCACATGGCACCTTGCTAAAACTAATCAGTGAAAATCTGGTACATCGTGATTAGGTTTAATTTTGATGTAACGAATGTCAACTTCTATCAGTAATGAGCCATCAGGGAATTCCGATGTACTTTTGTTCTTGATTTTCACATACTGTTCTATGATATGTATTTTTGGAAAGTGAATAAATAGCTTCTCCCTAGTGGTAAGATTTTTCATCCTTTACCCTTTGGAGGTTTTATAGGCTATACTGTTATCGTTTGGATTTTCTATAATGTATTTATGAGACTTTATATCAGTATTTATCAGGTGAGTAGTATTTTGAAGTGATTATGTTTCTTTCACTCTGCAGAAATTGGATCCTCAAAATTTTTTAGGCTTGACGATTCCAAGGTTTTGGGTTGGTTGTATCACAAGGTATTTTGCTTAAACTTACTCTTGATGTTAGGCAATTTGTTTATTTTTGGAAAGCCATTGTTTTTGACATCTCTGCTCAGGAATTTTCATATGACATCCCATTGGCATTGCCGTGAGATATAATACAAATATACTGTAAGAGCTGATCCTTCATTCTTGAAGCTTGTTTATAATATGCAGTATTATGATTGGAGACATAAATGTGGATTTTGGGGCACGTGAGCATGCCATGTGACCACACAAGATGCCTTGCAAATATGCCATGGGCTCTTTCAATTTTGATTATTTCAGTGATCATATCTTCTCTCTCTCTCTCTCTCTCTTTTTGGTGGAAAGTTGATCATATCTATTTGTTCCTACCTCAAAGAAATCTAGTACATGGCAATAGCAACTTATTTCAAGTGGGGGAAAATTTGTTGTTTCATGTGATAGGTCCTTCTGCTCCTTATTCCTTTTCCTGTTTAGGACATGTAGTATTCGTCTTAACTAGAGGTCGTCTAAGATCTTTACTTTGTATGTGAATTTAAAAGGAAAGTAATTTGACTCTTTAGCTGATTCATTTCATTTTTTTGTTCTGTGATTGCAGGTGTGTCGGCTAAAACAGACATTACTAACTTTGGACAAAAACTATGCCGCACAAGATGAGAAAGATACATGTATAACTTAAGTTATAAACAAGTAACAATATTTTCAGTTATTGAATTCTCTCATTCTAAATTTTAGTGGCATTTATTCTTAAATTCCTGTTGCAATAAACAGACAAGTGAACATTTAAGGCAACATATAGTAATAGATGTAAATAGGACTCGTGGCAAAACCTTTGTGCTTCCTGTTATCTGCTATGCTGAAATCTATCTTGCAAGGAAACGTTCATGGTTCCAGTTTGGCATGAATTTCAGTTTCTGTTAATTGATTCAGTGCTATTACCGGTGCAGTATCTGATGCAGTTTCTATATTGAGTGAGTATTTAAAGGATGATCCTTGGTTGAAGCAACTCTGTAGCTATCTGAGGTATAGCGCTAAAATTATTCTATTCAAGACAGCTCTTACTTAAGAATTTTAGTAGTTATGCTGTGAGATAACCTTTGTTTTCCTTCTCTTAATGTGTTAATCAAGTCTAGCTTATGAACATGTTTGCAGGTTAAACTTATTGGAGGTGACTAGGAAAGCATCAGAAATTGAACTTGTACCAAATGCCGCAGAAAGTAACCAAGGTTTTACTGCCTCACAGGTATAAAGTCCTGGATGCAAGGTCAATGTAATTCTTTTATATTCCCAGAGTAAAAGAAAAACTGGTTTTGCAACATGCAAATAAATAAATAAATAATCTTTGGGCCCTTTTATTTATTTATTTTTTAATTAAGAAACTTCCTTTCGTTGATAAAGAACAAGCCTGAAGGAAAGAGGATGAGGAATCCTCAAAACAGAAACAAAATAGATCAGAAAACAAAAGAGGCAGAGCAAAGAGAATAAACAAACTAAATGAACTCTTCGAGATTTGACAAGTTGCCCCTAAAATTTTAATTTTTGCACTTTAGCCCCCACAGCTTGCCATATTATTGTAATGGTCCTCATTTTACCATTTTGGAATTGGATTCGAGGGTTTATTTGGAGATCTGAGTGATTTATTTTAGGGCTTGAATTGAGATTTTGGGATTTTTTGTCGGACGTGCGCATTTCTGGATAAATGGGGCACATTGCAACGGTTTTGTAAGTTGAGGTGGAAAAGTGCGTAAAAAAGTTTGGGGGATAGTTGGCTCAAATGTTTTTTGTCGTTCACATGCACCCTTTTTTTTTCCTCTCCCCTGTTTGATCTCTTTTATCCTGATTTGCATTGATAAGTTTAGTGACATGTGATAGTTGAATTTTCCTAAAAATTTCCATTATATTAGGAGTTAAACACTCGGTCTAGTAGAAACTGATAATTTCAGAAATCAGATAACATGTTGGAAAATCGATGTCTAGACCAAGTTTCGGATGCAAAGTAGAAAGGGGGAGATTCAGTTGAGGAAAAGGATTCTACTCTGTTTTGGAACCATCTATGCGGTTCCTATAATCTTTACTAGCTATTCTAACTGGTTTTGTTTATAATTTGTTAGGATAAGAAAAAGGGTGGCAATAAGACTACAAAAGCTGGAAGGCAAAATAAGAAAGCAAAAGTGGATACAGAATCACATAACATTAAGGACATGTTTACTAGAGCTTCAAGAAGGAAGAAATAAAGAACGGAGTTTGTGAGTCTTATTCTCTATAAAGAAAAAAAAAAAAAAAAGAGACCATTTTTTATAATTAGTGAACGATGCTGACTTGAATTGTATCTTGTAATGAGTGGCCATGTTGTCATTCTCGTCAGTTCTCACGTTGTTCTCATCATCCCATGATCAACGGGAATTGTGTTGCCTTGTAAAAGTTTATTACATCTTTGTCAGACCCAATTGGGCAAACTAATTTATTATGAAGATTATGCATGAAGATTAGCTTGTAGAATTATTGAACTTGTGTGTGTATGTGTGCGTTTTCTTTTTTCTCATCGGAATTGAACATATGTTGAGTACTACTATCAGTTATTTGTTCAATCTCATTTTCTTTTTGCTATAAACTAAGGAAGATATTTTCTTCTTTTTTATTTTTAATTTGTTTATTAGGACATGTCTGACCTATTTTAATGTTATGATAACCAAAAAAAAGTCTGGTTGGATTCAGAATTAAAAAAAAAAAAAAAGATTTTCTCGGAAGTCGAAATTGGGATGCTGTTTCTGAGTAGGAGTTGACAGATTGCAACCTTAACACGTTTTATAAAAACCATAATTTATGATAAAATAAAACAATTAAATATTTATGAATGTCTTCTATTTAAAAATGAAGCAGACGTCCCATTTTTGATGCGTGCCATAAGTTAGACGCTTATTAGGGGTTAAGACAGAGCATCTAATTCTGCAGTAATTGGATATACCTTTGCGAGAGCCAAGAGGTAACGTCACTAATAAACATGACAAACCATCCCACATGTGCATACTTTATAATATATTATATATATATATATATGTATATGATATTTTGTTCTCCTAAGCAGATTCTTAGATATCTATGTTTTCTTTTTTGCTTCTCAAAGCAGTTTTTTAATCCCTTTTCCTAGGAAAAATCATGATCTCTTACGACGCCTTATTTGAAGCCACAAGCTCAAGTAGCCTCTGGTGACCATTCTCTTACATGGGCAGAGAGGAATATACAAATTCTCTTTCTCTATCCATCTTAAGACGATAATAAAGTGTAAGATACTTCTCCTTTTGCAATAGGATTCATGAATATTGGGCGAAATTTACGCCTTTTCTCCTTTTTTAATACTTTTTTTTTTTTTTTTTTTTTTTTTTTTTTTTTTTTTTGTGTATCCTTCTTCCTCATCCAGAAAGTTAAGAACTCTGAGGAAAGTGATCCAAATCCACTTGAAATTTTGTTGCTTGCCTCATGGGCTGCATGTTGTTCTGTGGATGGTATAACACTGACATCCATGAGATTCTTATTTGTACATGGCCTAAATATGTTCACAAAGTCTATCCTTAAGTTAAGAACTCTGAGGAAAGTGATCCAAATCCACTTGAAATTTTGTTGCTTGCCTCATGGGCTGCATGTTGTTCTGTGGATGGTATAACACTGACATCCATGAGATTCTTATTTGTACATGGCCTAAATATGTTCACAAAGTCTATCCTTAAAAAAAAAAACTAAAAAAAAAAAAAAAAAAAAAAAAAAAAAAAAAAAAAGGTGTTCACAAAGAGATTATTCATAGGATTTTTAAGGGAGTTAGTGAAAACGGGTTTCCCACTTGAGATTTGTGCCCTTCAACTTCGATAGCGTTTTTCTAGAGTTTGTGATTAAGTTCAACCTTATCCGAAGAAAAAAAAAATCCAAGAGTTTTCTAATAGATTTAGACCAATAGGAAGGACCACTAATAATAGCAAAAAGAACC